CCTACACCATCTCCCACAACACGCCTACACCACCTCCCACGACACACCTACACCATCTGCCACGACACACGCCTACACCACCTCCCACTTATTGCCTACACCATCTCCCACGACACGCCTACACCACCTCCCACGACACGCCTACACCACACCTCCCACGACACGCCTACACCACCTCCCACGACACGCCTACACCACCTCCCACGACACGCCTACACCACCTCCCACGACACGCCTACACCATCTGCCACGACACGCCTACACCACCTCCCACGACACGCCTACACCCCCACGACACGCCTACACCATCTCCCACGACACGCCTACACCCACCTCCCACGACACGCCTACACCACCTCCCACGACACGCCTACACCATCTCCCACGACACGCCTACACCACCCCACGACACGCCTACACCATCTCCCACGACACGCCTACACCCACCTCCCATGACACGCCTGCCACACCACCTCCCCACGACACGTCTACACCACCTCCACGACACGCCTACACCACTCCCACGACACGCCTACACCCACCTCCCACGACACGCCTACACACCTCCCCAGCACGACACGCCTACACCATCTCCCACGACACGCCTACACCATCTCCCACGACACGCCTACACCATCTCCCACGACACGCCTACACCACCTCCCACGACACGCCTACACCATCTCCCACGACACGCTCTGCACACCATCTCCCACACGCCTTCACTACCTCCCACGACACGCCTACACCACCCTCCCACGACACACGCCTACACCATCTCCCATGACACGCCTACACCACCTCCCCACGACACACGCGTCTACACCACCTCCCAATGACACGCCTACACCACCTCCCACGACACGCCTACACCCATCTCACGACACGCCTACACCCACCTCCCACGACACACACGCCTACACCATCTCCACGACACGCCTACACTACCTCCCACCACACGCCTACACCACCTCCCACGACATCGCCTACACCACCTCCGGACGACACGCCTACACCATCTCCCACGACACGCCTACACCATCTCCCACGACACGCCTACACCATCTCCCACGACACGCCTACACCATCTCCCACGACACGCCTACACCATTCTCCCACGACACTTACACCATCTCCCACGACACGCCTACACCACCTCCCACGACACGCCTACACCACCTCCTTCCACGACACGCCTACACCACATCTCCCCACGACACGCCTACACCACCCTCCCCACGACACGCCTACACCCACCTCCCACGACACACGCCTACACCATCTCCCACGACACACGCCTACACCACCTCCCACGACACGCCTACACCATCTCCCACGACACGCCTACACCACCTCCCACGACACACGCCTACACCATCTCCCCACGACACGCCTACACCATCTCCCACGACACGCCTACACCACCTCCCACGACACACGCCCACCATCTCCCCACGACACACCTACACCATCTCCCACGAGACACGCCTACACCATCTCCCCACGACACGCCTCCACCATCTCCCCACGACACGCCTACACCACCTCCCACGACACGCCTACACCATCTCCCCACGACACGCCTACAACATCTCCCCACGACACGCCTACACCATCTCCCCACGACACGCCTACACCATCTCCCATGACACGCCTACACCATCTCCCCACGACACGCCTACACCACTCTCCCCACGACAATGCCTACACCATCTCCCATGCACACGCCTACACCATCTCCCACGACACGCCTACACCCACCTCCCACGACACGCCTACACCACCTCCCACGACGCCTACACCATCTCCCATGACACACGCCTACACCACCTCCCACGACACGCCTACACCACCTCCCACGACACGCCTTCACACCACCTCCCACGACACGCCTTCCACACCACCTCCCACGACACGCCTACACCACCTCCCACGACACGCCTACACCACCTCCCACGACACGCCTACACCACCTCCCACGACACGCCTACACCACCTCCCACGACACGCCTACACCATCTCCCACGACGCATCTAGTGGTGATAAGCGGAGGTAATGATTGTAGTAGATAACAGTGATAATGGAATTGCAGGGCAAGCAAAGATAATGAAAGATAGTGGTAGGTATAGTAGTGGTGGTAAGCAGAGGTATTGGTAGGTAAAAGTAGTAGTAGTAGTAGTAGTAGAAGTAGTAGTAGTTAAAAAGAATACGTAAATTGTAATGAAAATAGAGTAAACAGATGAAGGAACAAAATAAAGTAAATAAGTAACAGAAGTGATTAAAAGACGCGAGCCTGACAATAAGGGTAAGGAACGACACAGCTGATGATAGTAATAATAATAATAATAATTATAATAATAATAATAAATAACAAGAACAATAATAACAACACTAATAATAATAACAACAATGCATTTTCCAAAGATCCAACAAGAAAGAAGAGTTTTATTGGCAAAAATTTCTCTCCTAGCAACACTGACACGTGAAGCTGCCCTCACACTAATGACTGAAGAATTAGAATGTTGCTAATGGCGTCTTTACCTCCCAGGGTTCATATAGGAGCAGGCAGAAAGAGCACGCGTGGTAATGGTGCTGCTATACTCTCGCTCATTACTCCCCGCCATTAGTAGTGAGAGTGATGGTGTCAAATGGTGCAGGAGTAACGAGGGGTAGGCGGAGGGTAAGTAGTGCCGTGAGGATGCAGTTTAAGTAGCAGTGATGATGGTGCTATGTGCCTTACTTGGTCATAACCCTCAGCCTGTTGTTGCTTGTGCAGTGGTATTAATTGTGGTAGTGGTGTAATGTTAATGTTGAAGTAATAATAATAATAATAATAATAATAATAATAATAATTAACGTCAGCGAGAGAGAGGGGGGGGTGGAGAGAAATGACACCAGGACAGAAAACCAGGTGACGACGTAAATATATGTGGAGGTGACCACAAGATGAGTGTGCGAGACAGCCACATATTTCTTGCCAATTAATCCTGAGTGAGAGGTATCTAGGGTACACCAAGACACCTCTCTCTCTCTCTCTCTCTCTCTCTCTCTCTCTCAATGCATCAATTACGTCATTACCTTAATTAAGAAGTGTTAATTCTGTCACCTGTACTGATGCATAAAAGGTTTGTGATTATTCTCCCATTGTTATTATACGTTATACACAACATACATTATACTACACAACATGCACCATACTCCATACAGAAAACATATCATACATACACCACACACAATATAAAAATTACACAACATATATCATACGCCATACATACCACATCACATACACCATACATACATCATACATATTACACAACCGACATAATACATACACCAATATACAGTAGTGATACACACATTGTTTACTGTATACTGAAACAGCCATGTGCCATGTGTCAGGTATTTCTCATCCACTCATGAAACACAGATAACCCTTCAATAAAATAATGATAACAAAAGCTGCAGTAACAAATACATCATGATCATAAATAAAACAATAAAAAACAAAATAGATAACATTAATAAATAATAATAATCCCATATAATTAATTCTTGTTTCTATAATTTAATCCCCAACAAATATATTACCTATAACATCAAAGTCTCTTCACAAGTGTCAATAAACTGAAAACAAGTTATCATAGATTATTTCATCTTATCTTGGGAGAGTGAAGATGAAGTCACCACGATGATACGACCTCACCTAGCGATGGTTTGGTACCCTTGGACACACATACACACACACACACACACACACACACACACACACACACACACACACACACACACACACACACACAGAGGCGACGGTGTGTCATACCATATTTGTACTTATGTATTAATAAACTTTATTCATTCTAAAATTCTATACTGAAGTCCTCTTTTGGTACTGTACGTCAAAACTTAAAGGCGCGTACAGGCGTCGGGAATAACTTAAAGTAGGATAAGGTAGTGGCGTCGGAAGTTACATAATAGAGAAAATAGAAGAATAAGAAAGGCCGTAAAGGACACAAGAATGAACAAGAATATAGGAAAGAGAAGATAAAAGTGGAAAAATGAGGAGATGAACAGTGTAGCCATGAACCCTTCCTTCCCCTCATGACCCAGGATGAGAGGCACCACCTTCAGGCCGAGGATGAAAGAACCTTATTATCAGAGCTAATGTGTGCTGCCCGCCGCTCACCTCACCCCTCCCCTCACCCCACACCCCTCGTTGTTCATGGCTCCTCTCTATCAAACCCACAGCACTCCTCACCCCTCCCCTCACCCCACACCCCTCGTTGTTCATGGCTCCTCTCTATCAAACCCACAGCACTCCTCACCCCTCCCCTCACCCCTCACCCCTCGTTGTTCATGGCTCCTCTCTATCAAACCCTCAGCACTCCTCAACCCACTCACATCCTCACCCCTCCTACTCCTCACAGCCCCCCTCGCTCATCGTCCATCACAGCTCCCTCCTCCCTGCTCCAATCCTCACCCCTCACCACCCCCACACTTCTCCCAGCCCCTCACCCCTCACCACCACCTACTTCTCCCAACCCCTTTAAAGCTTAAGCCTTATGAGGTTAACTAGACCAGGGCAGGACACACGGGTGGTTGGTAGTACTGCCTCAAACGTTTCATAACAGGATGCAATGATAATGTCTTCTTTGTGTGTTGTTGACGTCATGCACTCACGCACGCACAACGCTATTACAAAAAACACTTAACTCTTGTGCGTTTTTTTTTAGCTGAGAAAAAATGCCCCGCCCCCTCCTCAAGATTTACAGCTGATTGGCTGTTGCAAACCTGTCCGATTTTGTCCAAAGTAATGCTGTAATATCTTTCTCGTCAGAAACGGTCTTTATGAATAAACTCATTTAAAAATACATCATTACTCAGGACAAAATCGGACAGATTTGCAACAGCCAATCAGCTGTCACTCTTGAGGAGGGGGCGGGGCATTTTTTTCTCAGCTGGGAAAAAACGAACTATATTATATCTCAAGGAGGTAGTGTGTGTACAGCCTATTAACTAACTTAAAACACCACATCACTAACATGTTCAACACCACGCAATAAAGGAGTAAATATACCAATTAGAAATAAGTTGGACCCGACCACATCACGTCAACATTGTACAGGAAGTCTAGTATCAGCAGATAACATAGCCATAATGGACTGTTGTGGTGAAGCAGACGCACGTACTGTACCCCTCACTGCTACCACTATGGGCCAACGTGTGAGTATTACTGACTGTGTGTTTTATATTTAAACGTGTGAAAGTCATACTTGTGATAAAGGATGGCCGATCCTTAAGTCTTTTGTTTTAGTGCACAAACTACCGCCAACACAACAACCACACCTAGAGTGTAAGCTGCTGACTGACACTTGTAGGGTGTTACAAGATGACCCCAGAGTGTACTGTTACAAGATGACCACTGAGTTTAGTGTTACAAGATGACCCCCGAGTGTAGTGTTACAAGATGACCCCCCGAGTGTAGTGAAACAAGATGACCCCCGAGTGTAGTGTTACAACATGACCCCCTGAGTGCAGTGTTATAAGATGACTCCCGAGTGTAGTGTTACAAGATGACCCCCGAGTGTAGTGGTACAAGATGACCCCCTGAGTGCAGTGGTACAAGATGACCCCCTGAGTGTAGTGTTACAAGATGACCCCCTGAGTGTAGTGGTACAAGATGACCCCCTGAGTGTAGTGGTACAAGATGACCCCCTGAGTGTAGTGGTACAAGATGACCCCTGAGTGTAGTGTGTTACAAGATGACCCCTGAGTGTAGATGTACAAGATGACCCCTGAGTGTAGTGTTACAAGATGACCCCTGAGTGTAGTGTTACAAGATGACCCCCTGAGTGTGTGTACAAGATGACCCCTGAGTGTAGTGTTACAAGATGACACCCTGAGTGCAGTGTTACAAGATGACTCCCTGAGTGTAGTGTTACAAGATGGCCCCTGCGTTTAGTGTTACAAGATGACCCCTGAGTGTAGTGTTACAAGATGACACCCTAAGTGTAGTGTTACAAGATGACCCCCTGAGTGTAGTGTTACAAGATGACACCCTGAGTGCAGTGTTACAAGATGACTCCCTGAGTGTAGTGTTACAAGATGGCCCCTGCGTTTAGTGTTACAAGATGACCCCTGAGTGTAGTGTTACAAGATGACACCCTAAGTGTAGTGTTACAAGATGACTCCTGAGTGTAGTGTTACAAGATGGCCCCTGAGTTTAGTGTTACAAGATGACCCCTGAGTGTAGTGTTACAAGATGACACCCTAAGTGTAGTGTTACAAGATGACCCCCTAAGTGTAGTGTTACAAGATGACCCTGAGTGTAGTGTTACAAGATGACACCCTGAGTGCAGTGTTACAAGATGACTCCCTGAGTGTAGTGTTACAAGATGGCCCCCTGAGTTTAGTGTTACAAGATGACCCCTGAGTGTAGTGTTACAAGATGACACCCTAAGTGTAGTGTTACAAGATGACCCCCTGAGTGTAGTGTTACAAGATGACACCCTGAGTGCATTGTTACAAGATGACTCCCTGAGTGTAGTGTTACAAGATGACCCCCTGAGTGTTGTGTTACAAGATGACACCCTGAGTGCAGTGTTACAAGATGACACCCTGAGTGTAGTGTTACAAGATGACCCCCTAAGTGTAATGTTACACTCACCCCTGAAGATGTGAATTACACGAAAGCGCTTTGGAACTTCGTGTTTTCTTTTTCCTTGTGGTTATCAGCATATACCTGGATCACGCGCACCTACAGTGATTTACTTGCAAATATATATATATATATATATATATATATATATATATATATATATATATATATATATATATATATACTGGTTTGTATACTGCGACAACACCACACATATCACATATGACAATCTTATCACATGTGACAGTAATGATAATCTTATTAACCCTGGTCAGATGGGTAATGCAGGTGGCGGGGCGTATGACGAGGTAGCGAGGGCTCTACAGGCCGGCCAAGTCGCCCAGCTGGGTGATAACAACGGACCTTACCGATGTAATGTGTGCAACAAGGAACTTAAAACCAAGAGCACTCTTAAGAATCACTTCACGAGCCAGACACACCAGAATAAGGTATTAAGGGAATGTGAAGATATATTTTTCTTTAAATAATAATTAAAAGGTAGTATTTCATATCTGTTTGTTTTTTAATAAAGTAATGACAAGCTTATCATTCATGTCAGTAAAACTGATAATATAATAGTGTGACAAAACTAACACAGATATGTTAATGGGATAATATATTCTTAAATTTAATAGAATAAGTCATTACATTGCAAAGAAAATATGTGTAAAGTAACTACTGACTACTGTACATATCAAAACATATCGTATGAAAATTAAAATGACAATACTGTAGTCCTGTACTAACACTATACGCACATTAGCTGGGCGACGTTTCTTTGTTTATTCTTGATCTACTATAATATTTCTTGTCAAACTTCCACTATGATCACTGATAGACAGGGTGTCTCAGAAAATTGTATACAAACTACATTACAGATATTCATGGAGATCGCGTGAATGCTTATATCACATCCTACATTATCCTCACTTGTTGATGCACGAGGTCTCCCACAAGTAAGGAGAATGTTGATGCTTGTAATAGGACCATTCCAAGCAATCTTCAGGAGAAATCTGTATGGTGTTGTGCATACATTTTTCTGAGACACCCTGTATATATATATATATATATATATATATATATATATATATATATATATATATATATATATATATATATATATATATATTACGTTTATTTCCAGATAAGCTCAGCAAGGCCAGCGTCGCCTCAGCATCATGGTCAACAAATACCAGCCACCAAAACACCTCAACAGGTATTGTTTCACACCTAATTAATAACATTGACAGTTTGGTAAAGGTAAAACTGGACAAAGTTGCGAGGGCTGGACTTCACCAAACAGCCACTTACTGTAATACTAAATAAACATAAACCATCAACAAATCATAACTGACATTTCTCTCTTCTCACACTTTGTGTGTTATAACATTTACTTAACGCAACAATATTTTACAGATTTCCATAATAATAGAACAAAATGTCATACTAATAGAGGATATATTAATACTTCAATGTTAATTTTCATTAAATATACCATACTAGTTATTTGGTAACAATTCTTACTTGCCTAATAAAGCCAATGTATACAGGTGGTATACTGCAGCTGTCGTATTGGTGCAACATCACACATAAATCACGATAATCTAATCACTTGTGACAGTAACATTAAGCATAATAACTGGCCAGGTATGTAGTGCAACTGGCTGGGCAGATGACGAGGGAGCGAAGGCTCTACGGGCCGGCCAAGTCACCCAGCTGGGTGATAACAACGGACCTTACCGATGTAATGTGTGCAACAAGGAACTTAAAACCAAGAGCACTCTTATGCGCCACTTCACGAGCCAGACACACCAGAATAAGGTATTAAGGGAATGTGAAGATATATTTACCTTTAAACAATACTAATAAATAATAAGCTAAATTCATAACTTTATGGATTAATGAAATATAACTCCTAGATAATATAACCATCCATGAAAGAAAAAATAATATGTGACATGATTATTGATACAGGTATATTAATAATGGGAAGATATACAATGTTAATATTTGCTAAACAACTTAATGTATTGCCAATAAAATGCGTGTAATCTCGCTACTGTGTACTGTACACGTGTAGCCACAACGTGTAAATATTAACATTAACATTATAATACACATAATGTAACTACCAGTTTATACCCACATTAGCTGGACTACCTATATTCCTTCCTTTATCTACTATATTTCTTGAGAGACTTCTACAATGATCCCTGAACATTTATATTCCATAAAATAAAATATATTTCAAAAGGTTTTCCTTATAAAGTTTACTGTACAAATTTAAGAGCAATAATTATTAAGATATCATTTCTAATAATGAAGAGAAATTTGTGATACTTATTGCACATATTTTCAAACTATGCCCAAAATTGCCCGTTGATATATTCCATTAAGTATCAATATATATATATATATATATATATATATATATATATATATATATATATATATATATATATATATATATATATATATATATATGATCTAATGAAAACGTGGATAAGATAAATCTTGATAAAATCACACGGGAAAAGGAAACAACGGAACACCTTAGCTTTCGTCTTTATTCAAAGACATCTTCGGGGGGAGATGGAATATATAACATAATTTTCATCAGTCATTAATGTTCCGAATGTGAAATACGTTTATTTCCAGATAAGCTCAGCAAGGCCAGCGTCGCCTCAGCATCATGGTCAACAAATACCAGCCACCAAAACACCTCAACAGGTATTGTTTCACACCTAATTAATAACATTAACAGTTTGGTAAAGGTAAAACTGGACAAAGTTGCGAGGGCTGGACTTCACCAAACAGCCACTTACTGTAATACTAAATAAACATAAACCATCAACAAATCATAACTGACATCACACTTTGTGTGTTATAACATTTATTTAACTGTACAATATTTTGTTACAATTTTCTCGAATATTAAAATGAACTACGACATACTAATAGAAGATGCGAGTAAAATCTAGTGTTAAGTTTCACTCCAAAATTCCTATAAATTATTTGATAACAATAATTACCTTGCCTATTATAATAACATGTACAGGTGTATACTGCTGATTTTGTATTGAGGCAACACCACACATAAATCACGATAATCTTATCACCTATACAGGTGGGTGATGCAACTGGCGGGGCAGATGACGAGGTAGCGAAGGCTCTACGGGTCGGCCAAGTCGCCCAGCTGGGTGATAACAACGGACCTTACCGATGTAATGTGTGCAACAAGGAACTTAAAACCAAGAGCACTCTTAAGCGCCACTTCACGAGCCAGACACACCAGAATAAGGTATTAAGGGAATGTGAAGATAAATATATTTACCTTTAAACAATAATAATAAATAATAAGCTAAATTCATAACTTTATGGATTAATGAAATATAACTCCTAGATAATATAACCATCCATGAAAGAAAAAATAATATGTGACATGATTATTGACACTGGTATATTAATAATGGGAAGACATACAATGTTAATATTTGCTAAACAACTTAATGTATTGCCAATAAAATGCGTGTAATCCCGCTACTGTGTACTGTACACGTGTAGCCACAACGTGTAAATATTAACATTAACATTATAATACACATAATGTAACTACCAGTTTATACCCACATTAGCTGGACTACCTATATTCCTTCCTTTATCTACTATATTTCTTGAGAGACTTCTACAATGATCCCTGAACATTTATATTCCATAAAATAAAATATATTTCAAAAGGTTTTCCTTATAAAGTTTACTGTACAAATTTAAGAGCAATAATTATTAAGATATCATTTCTAATAATGAAGAGAAATTTGTGATACTTATTGCACATATTTTCAAACTATGCCCAAAATTGCCCGTTGATATATTCCATTAAGTATCAATATATATATATATATATATATATATATATATATATATATATATATATATATATATATATATATATATATATATATATATAAATCCTAATGAAAACGTGGATAAGATAAATCTTGATAAAATCACACGGGGAAACAACGGAACACCTTAAACTTTCGTCTTTATTCAAGAACATCTTCGAGTATAAAGAGGCAATGGAATATATAACATAATTTTCATCAGTCATTAATGTTCCGAATGTGAAATACGTTTATTTCCAGATAAGCTCAGCAAGGCCAGCGTCGCCTCAGCATCATGGTCAACAAATACCAGCCACCAAAACACCTCAACAGGTATTGTTTCACACCTAATTAATAACATTGACAGTTTGGTAAAGGTAAAACTGGACAAAGTTGCGAGGGCTGGACTTCACCAAACAGCCACTTACTGTAATACTAAATAAACATAAACCATCAACAAATCATAACTGACATTTTTCTCTTCTCACACTTTGTGTGTTATAACATTTATTTAACTGTACAATATTTTGTTACAATTTTCTCGAATATTAAAATGAACTACGACATACTAATAGAAGATGCGAGTAAAATCTAGTGTTAAGTTTCACTCCAAAATTCCTATAAATTATTTGATAACAATAATTACCTTGCCTATTATAATAACATGTACAGGTGTATACTGCTGATTTTGTATTGAGGCAACACCACACATAAATCACGATAATCTTATCACCTATACAGGTGGGTGATGCAACTGGCGGGGCAGATGACGAGGTAGCGAAGGCTCTACGGGTCGGCCAAGTCGCCCAGCTGGGTGATAACAACGGACCTTACCGATGTAATGTGTGCAACAAGGAACTTAAAACCAAGAGCACTCTTAAGCGCCACTTCACGAGCCAGACACACCAGAATAAGGTATTAAGGGAATGTGAAGATAAATATATTTACCTTTAAACAATAATAATAAATAATAAGCTAAATTCATAACTTTATGGATTAATGAAATATAACTCCTAGATAATATAACCATCCATGAAAGAAAAAATAATATGTGACATGATTATTGACACTGGTATATTAATAATGGGAAGACATACAATGTTAATATTTGCTAAACAACTTAATGTATTGCCAATAAAATGCGTGTAATCCCGCTACTGTGTACTGTACACGTGTAGCCACAACGTGTAAATATTAACATTAACATTATAATACACATAATGTAACTACCAGTTTATACCCACATTAGCTGGACTACCTATATTCCTTCCTTTATCTACTATATTTCTTGAGAGACTTCTACAATGATCCCTGAACATTTATATTCCATAAAATAAAATATATTTCAAAAGGTTTTCCTTATAAAGTTTACTGTACAAATTTAAGAGCAATAATTATTAAGATATCATTTCTAATAATGAAGAGAAATTTGTGATACTTATTGCACATATTTTCAAACTATGCCCAAAATTGCCCGTTGATATATTCCATTAAGTATCAATATATATATATATATATATATATATATATATATATATATATATATATATATATATATATATATATATATATATATATATATATATATATATCATGTAGATCCACAATGAAAACGTGGATAGATAAATCTTGATAAAATCACACGGAAAAGGGAAACAACGGAACACCTTAGCTTTCGTCTTTATTCAAGACATCTTCGGGGAGAGAGAGAGAGAGAGAGAGAGAGAGAGAGAGAGAGAGAGAGAGAGAGAGAGAGAGAGAGAGAGAGAGAGAGAGAGAGAGAGAGAGAGAGAGAGAGAGAGAGAGAGAGAGAGAGAGAGAGAGAGATATAAAGAGAGAGAGAGAGAGAGAGAGAGAGAGAGAGAGAGAGAGAGAGAGAGAGAGAGAGGCAATGGAATATATAACATAATTTTCATCAGTCATTAATGTTCCGAATGTGAAATACGTTTATTTCCAGATAAGCTCAGCAAGGCCAGCGTCGCCTCAGCATCATGGTCAACAAATACCAGCCACCAAAACACCTCAACAGGTATTGTTTCACACCTAATTAATAACATTGACAGTTTGGTAAAGGTAAAACTGGACAAAGTTGCGAGGGCTGGACTTCACCAAACAGCCACTTACTGTAATACTAAATAAACATAAACCATCAACAAATCATAACTGACATTTTTCTCTTCTCACACTTTATGTGTTATAACATTTATTTAACTGTACAATATTTTGTTACAATTTTCTCGAATATTAAAATGAACTACGACATACTAATAGAAGATGCGAGTAAAATCTAGTGTTAAGTTTCACTCCAAAATTCCTATAAATTATTTGATAACAATAATTACCTTGCCTATTATAATAACATGTACAGGTGTATACTGCTGATTTTGTATTGAGGCAACACCACACATAAATCACGATAATCTTATCACCTATACAGGTGGGTGATGCAACTGGCGGGGCAGATGACGAGGTAGCGAAGGCTCTACGGGTCGGCCAAGTCGCCCAGCTGGGTGATAACAACGGACCTTACCGATGTAATGTGTGCAACAAGGAACTTAAAACCAAGAGCACTCTTAAGCGCCACTTCACGAGCCAGACACACCAGAATAAGGTATTAAGGGAATGTGAAGATATATTTACCTTTAAATAATACTTAAAAATAATGTTAAATTTTTTAATTTTATGTATGCATGAAATATAACTTAGATAATATTACCATTCATGTGAGAACAGTAATAATGTGACACGACTATTAACACAGGTATACTGATATTAGGGTGATATATACTCTTCATTTAATAGACCAAGGTTCATACTGTGTATGTACTGTACTTTTAGCTGTACAGTCTCTTGTGTCTACACCTTAGATGTGTTTACACCTGAGAAGGATGCACAGTGTACGTACAATACCTCCACCTGTCAAAATATTGTTATATATTTCCTTATTAGTATATTATTCGAATTTATTTCATGGTTTTATTCTTGTCTTTGGAGTTTAGATGAAGTGGGAAGAAGAGGACAGCTCCCAAGAGGACAACTCCCAAGAGGACGACTCCCAAGAGGACAACTCCCAAGAGGACGAGGACAGTGAAGAGGAGGATGACGATGACGACCAGGAATATAACGATGAGGAGGATGAAGACGAAGAGGAGGGCATAACCCGACATGTGCTCAGAGATAATCACAAATCAAGGGCAAGTAGCAATATAGTTGTATCAATCTATTGGTTGCTTCACTTTTCTTACTATTTATGAGTCGCCTTTCATTACAGGCACGAAACACTGTGGGTTCAGAAATTTATGTGAAATATACTTGTGGCAATATTCAGTTAACTTCAGTTCTTTACTACTCACATCAAGGATCAACCTGATTTAATTCATCTTTATTTTTCACTCCTGCTTTAAGTTACAACTCAGGATATTCCTTTTCCCCGGTTCGTCTCTCACCCAAGCGTCATTATACATTCGTCTGTAACTCTTAGAGCTTTATTGAATCATCAAACTTTATCATTTCTACATATTTCTTCAGTCACCGTTTACCCAACTTTCATTTACCTTGCGTTTTGTTTTATGGTGGCAGTGGTGGATATGTACAGCGTAAGACACTTATCTTAATACCTTCATAACTCAATTAGGTAAGTACCAGATTGATGGTGCCAAGGTGATGGAAGCAAAACTCCATGACACCGTGAAAATGGGTCCCATAGGCATTAATGCCAGTTAGGGACAGAGTGGATACACATTGTGGTTACACAGTGTGGATACTAAAGGAGTCCGCATGACCGGTACTTCTTTCGACCGTATTCACTTCCCCAAGCTGTAAACTTACATACCCATTTACAACTGGGTGAACTACAGTAGAAGCGCCCGGAGATCGAACCACCGACCCCATTGAACGGAAGGTGATAGCTGTATCCATTCGACCGCCGCACTCCTTTGACAGCGGGAAAAGACAATAAACAGAGGGGCAGCAGCAGGGACACAGCCCGTCAGTCCTGGTAATGACCGGCCTAAAGCAGTAAGCAGAGGGGCAGCAGCAGGGACACAGCCCGTCAGTCCTGGTAATGACCGTCCTAAAGCAGTAAGCAGAGGGGCAGCAGCAGGGACACAGACCGTCAGTCCTGGTAATGACCGTCCTAAAGCAGTAATGACCGTCCTAAAGCAGTAAGCAGAGGGGCAGCAGCAGGGACACAGCACGTCAGTCCTGGTACGACCGGCCTAAAGCAGTAAGCAGAGGGGCGGTGCGCGCAGGGACACAGCCCGGTCGTCTGGTAATGACCGGCCTAAAGCAGTAAGCAGACGGGCAGCAGCAGGGACACAGCCCGTCAGTCCTGGTAATGACCGGCCAAAGTGGTGGAAGCAGAGGGGCAGCAGCAGGGACACAGCCCGTCAGTCCCGGGTGGGTAATGACCGGCCTAAAGTAGTAAGCAGAGGGGCAGCAGCAGGGACACAGCACGCCGTCCTGGTAATGACCGGCCCAAAGCAGTAAGCAGAGGGGCAGCAGCAGGGACACAGCCCGTCGTCCTGGTAATGACCGGCCCAGCAGCAAGCAGACGGGCAAAGCAGCAGGACACAGCCCGTCAGTCCTGGTAATGACTGGCCTAGCAGTAAGCAGAGGGCAGCAGCAGGGACACAGCCTGGCCGGGGTCCTGGTAATGACCGGCCTAAAGCAGTGCACAGAGGGAAAAGTGGCAGCAGGGACACAGCCCGTCAGTCCGGTAATGACCGGCCCAGCAGTAAGCAGAGGGGCAGTGCAGCAGGGACACAGCCTGTCAGTCCTGGTGAACACCACACCAAAGCAGCAAGGCGAAGGGCAGCAGGACACAGCCCGTCAGTCCTGATAATGACCGGCCTAAAGCAGTAAGCAGAGGGACAGCAGCAGGGACACAGCACGTCAGTCCTGGTAATGACCGGCCTAAAGCAGTAAGCAGAGGGGCAGCAGCAGGGACACAGCCCGTCAGTCCTGATAATGACCGGCCTAAAGCAGTAAGCAGAGGGACAGCAGCAGGGACACAGCACGTCAGTCCTGATAATGACCGGCCTAAAGCAGTAAGCAGAGGGACAGCAGCAGGGACACAGCACGTCAGTCCTGGTAATGACCGGCCTAAAGCAGTAAATAGAGAGAGACAGACAGACAGTTATAGTTCACTTGACGTCACTGCGCAGAGCGAAAGAAAACTAGACCGCTGTCCGGCCGACCTCTCTACATTGACCTTGAGTGCATCATTCGACGAGGAGAGACAGCGCCAGTGTTACACGTAGTATTTGAGAGATACAATGACACTGGAGCTATGGCTGGAACACACAGACAGACAGACAGCCAACGTCCTTTTCTTATTGTAAATATATTGTCAAAATTAAAAAATGAAGTATATAAAACTTTCAGAAATCAAAATTTTCACAGTCGGCAATTTCTTATTTTCGAGTTAGGCTCAGCAAGGCCAGCGTCGCCTCAGCATCATGGTCAACAAATACCAGCCACCAAAACACCTCATCAGGTATTGTTTCACACCTAATTAATAACATTGACAGTTTGGTAAAGGTAAAACTGGACAAAGTTGCGAGGGCTGGACTTCACCAAACAGCCACTTACTGTAATACTAAATAAACATAAACCATCAACAAATCATAACTGACATTTCTCTAGTCTTACAACTTGTGTGTTATAACTTTTAGCTGTACAACGTTTTACAAATTTCCGAAACATTAAATTGAAGTACGACATATTAATTCAAGATGCATGAAAAATCCCATGTTAATATTTCTTAGCAAAAATAACATCAATTATTTAATAACAACAGTTACTTTGGCTATTAAGGACTACCAATGCAGTTGGTATACTGCTGATGTTTTATTGTGGCAACACCACACATGTCAAGATAATCTTGCCATTGTGACAGTAATGATAATCTTATTAACCTTGGCCAGGTGTGCGGTGCAAGTGGCGGGGCAGATGACGAGGTAGAGAAGGCTCTACGGGTCGGCCAAGTCGCCCAGCTGGGTGATAACAACGGACCTTACCGATGTAATGTGTGCAACAAGGAACTTAAAACCAAGAGCACTCTTAAGCGCCACTTCACGAGCCAGACACACCAGAATAAGGTATTAAGGGAATGTGAAGATATATTTACCTTTAAATAATACATAAAAATAATGTTAAATGTTTTAATTTTATGTATGAATGAAATATAAATTAGATAATATTACCATTCACGTGAAAAAAGTAATAATATAAGACAAGACTATTAACACAGGTATACTGATATTAGGGTGATATGTTTTTTACATTTAATAGACCAAGGTTCATACTGTGTATGTACTTTACTTTTAGCTGTACAATCTCTTGTGCCTAGACCTAAGATGTGTTTACACCTGAAAAGGATGCACAATGTACGTACAATACCTCCACCTGTTAAAATATTGTTATACATTTCCTTATTAGTAAGTTCTATAATTTGATTTGATAATTAGATTGTGCACTTTGGTGATCTGATGAAGTGGAAGGACGACGCCGACCAGGAAGAGGAGAGTGACAACAACGAGGAAATCATCGCCGAGACGGACGACAAGTCAAAACTTTATATGTGCATACCATGTAACCGGTCCGTCAAGCGCTGGGACCTTGGGAGACATCTGGAGAGCGAGACCCACAAGGCCAAGGCGAGTAACAACACCGTCTTATCTATCCATTTATTGATTTTCTTTGTCTTTCTATTAGTTGCCTCTCATTACACGCAGGAAACACTGAAGGCTCCTCAGTCAGACTCGGCACCCCAAAATATCATTGTCAGTTTATAGTAACATAATTATATATTATGGTATAAAAACATATATCTCTGGGTGACTGAAAACAATTTAATTTATATTCTATCTCTAATTCAGCTTTAATAATATAATTTCAGATTAAGTTAGGTCAGGTTAGGTTAGGTGTACTACAAGTGAGGACAATGTTATAATATTACAAGCATTCACGTGATCTCCACACGAACCTGTAGGTATAAAAATACAAGAAATAATTATGAACTAAATTTATTATGCACATCATGTTCTCAAGTTTAGGACAGTGAAGTGAACCACACAACTTCCAACGTGACTTTGGTGTTTCCTTACTATTAACTTTCTTCAGTAGGTTTGTTAATTCGGATGTGAATTTGCACTTTCCCTCACAAACCGTCTTTATTCTGCTATTCAGGTATATGTACAGTTTTACGTTTAAGTATAGATATAGTAAGAAGAAGCTGATTCCCTATCCTAAACACATGTACTGTATATGTTAATTGTACTTGTGGCAACATTCAGTCGTCTTTAGGCCTTTAAAACTCACCCCGGGGATGAATTGGGTTTATTTCATCATTAATTTTCTCTCCTGCCTTAGATTACAGCTCAGGTTAATCATTTCCTTGGGTCCGTCTCTCACCCATACTTCATTTTGAACACTTCTTTAACCCTTAAATGTTTTCCCAAATCAAGATACTTTATCACTTTTAAATATAATTACCCTTAATATATTATTTTTCGTTTATCAGTTTACTTTCACTTATATTGTGTTTAATTAAGAATGTTACCGTATATTGTCTACTAGAAAAGGGTATTATGTTTTTGGGTGGCAGTAGTGCTTACGGCACAGCGTAGGAGAATTATCATAATATCTTCATTACTCACTTAACTGAATCCCAGATTGGTACTGTCGAGGGGATGGAGACAAAACTCCATGACACCGTGAAAAAGACAGTAAGCAGAGGGGCGGCAGCAGGAACACAGCCCGTCAGTCCTGGTAATGACCGCCCTCAAGCAGTAAGTAGAGGAACAGCAGCAGGGACACAGCACGTCAGTCCTGGTAATGACCGTCCTGACGTGAACACAGGAGTTACGTATGAACGTATTGTCAAAATTATGGCAACATCGAAGGACATCATTTCTCGGGAGACTTTATTCTCGCATGAATTAGCTCCATACCCGACTGCTCTTTTTGACGAGGGCGGTGAAATGAGACACACAAGTAAGTCGGTGCTGAAGAACAGGCTCTTAGTGCCAGGAGACTTACGAGCCAAGCTGACTCCAGAGGTAATCATCCTGGACGGCAGTGCCTTACTCTGGGCTGTTCCTTGGCCAGTTTCACAAGCGACCGTGTCTACGTACATCAGTACTGTGGTAAAGAACATCATACGACGAGGAGAGAGAGCGCCAGTGTTACACGTAGTATTTGATAGATACTATGACATCAGTCCAAAGACGTGTTGTAGAAAAGCCCGCCAGAAAAGATACGCTCCTGTGTACAATTTCAGTGAAGAGTCGCTACAATCCGATCAAGTCGTCGATAAGAAACGAATCATCTCGCTGATTGTCAAGCAGTTATGCTCCATACAAGTTCCTCGAGGCAAGCAAGTTATCGTAACTGGACCTGATGCTCATCCAATACAGGTTGGTATTGGCCCACAGCAAACTGCGGTGACTCACGAGGAAGCTGACGTGATCATGGCTTACCACATGCTCCAAGAGGCAGCGGCTGGCCATTCACCAATAAGAATAGTGTGTGATGACACAGACGTGTTCCTCATCCTCGCTCATCACCTGCACGCTCGCACAAACAACATACCACACACCGTCCAAGTAAGCATGGAGTCATGCACTAGGGGTCACGCCGTCGTCAGTATCAACGAGGTTGTTAAGAAACACTCAAGTATAATCCCAAACATTCTAGCAGCTCATGCCTTGACTGGCTGTGACACCGTTTCCTCCTTCGCTGGTATCGGAAAAATAACAGCATTGAAAACTCTTGAGGCATTCCCTGGTTCATTAGACCTTGGGAATCCATCTGCGTCCCTTGATGAGGTCACGGATGTATCCCTGAAATACGTATCAGCTCTGTATAACCAGACACCAGGAGATTCGTTAAACAACATGCGTGCAACTATTTTCACAAAACAGATCAGTAACAACAAGTTGAGGTTTCCTAGGTTAAGCCGATTGCCACCTACAATGGCGGCGTTCAGGCCCCACTGCGGACGGGCACACTACCAAACAGCGTTATGGAAGTCTGCTGGGATGCCCTCACAGCCACCGCTCGACCCATTGCAGTATGGCTGGGAGATGAATGGATCAACACTGACACCAGTTTATAGCCTTCCTGGGCAGTCAATTGTTCCCGACGAGGTGTACAACCTGGTTAATTGTAGCTGTAAGACCGCCTGCACAGCAACACTCTGCTCCTGCTACAAGTTCACTCTTCCATGCACCAAATTATGCACGTGTAAAGGTCATGCAGCTTGCCTGAACCCTGAGACAGAGAAGAGAAGAATGTAACACTCCAGTCTCCACAATGACAAGGTCCCAAGTTTAAAGAATTAATGTTGTGTAAATAAATGCACCAAACCTTTAAATCAACTTTGACGCCAAAACATTTTAATCTCAATTACTTCAAACTGTATCATTTTTCTCTTCACCCTTTTTTCAATTTTCATCAATAAAATATTACTAAATTTTGCGCTGTAGGAATTATTAAAAATTATAGTTACTCTTATATCGCAAACAAAACGAGCAACATTTTCCTTACTTAAATGATTAAAATGTGTTTTTATTCATTACTTTTGTCCAGAAAGTAATTAACATGTAAATATTTAAAGTGTGCAAAAAATTATAAATAAATGGGATAGCTTCTTGATCTCTTCCCCTAGCACTGTCACGTAGCTATGTCTCTCTCCCACGCTAAGCACCGAGGAACGCATCAAAGCTACTTCTTGCAATTCGTACTTCATTTATCATTTATGAAATGTTCAATGTTCAATACGTCTAAAAATATAAGTGTGTGTGCGTGCGCACACACACACACACACACACACACACACACACACACACACACACACTACATCCTTGACCACCGAAGGGTCAAGACGTACCTGGCGCTCCTCTCGGAGCAGCCAGGTCAACTGTTAAGTTGGCCCATACCAACCCCCCTCCCCTGAACCCTTCTTCCCACCGGAATATCAACAAGTTCTCGCCAGAAGTTACAATTTCATTTAGGAAAGGAACGGAACCAGTGTTAAACAGAGGTGAACAGTGCTTAAGTCAGTGAGAACAACTCAACAGTAACAGTCGTACCCAAGTTAACCTTCACACAGTGAGGTCCCAGGTACCCAGTGATAACGGCCCGTGAGACCCAACAACAACCAGCGATGTGTTAATCCGTCTACGATAGGAAGGCCTAAGACCAAACGAATCGAAAAATAACCCCAAAGCTTTTTATCAACTGTATAAATCAAAGGTTAGAGATACAATAGGTCCCCTTAAAACTACGACAGGAGAAATGACTGATGATGAGTTAGAAATGTGTAGTACGTTAAATAGTCATTTTCGCTCCGTATTCACAAATTAAACCTAGAGTTTCAGAAGTTCATAAGGTATATATACGACAGTATAGAAAATATGTTGATGAATATCAATATTACTAGTAACATGATGTGCTTAAAGTAATTAACAAACTGAAGCCTCATAAATCGCCTGGTCCAGACGAGGTATATGCTAGAATATTAAAAGAATGTGTAGAGATGAGTTGAGTAATCCATTAGCAGTTTTATTTAATAAGTCATTAGAATCGGGCCTAGTGCCAGAAGCTTGGAAACTTGCAAATGTAGTTCCGATTTTCAAAAGGGTGATAAATCAATAGCATCAAATTACCGTCCCATTAGTCTCACGTCAATCATAGGCAAGTTGCTAGAGTCAATTATTGCTACAAAAAATCAGAAGCCACCTTGAAACATTCAACTTAATTCATTCTTCTCAGCACGGTTCACCAGGGACGTTCTTGTCTCACAAATTTGCTTAGCTTTTTCTCAGAAGTATTTGAAGCGGTAGATAATGATAAGTCATATGATATAATTTATTTAGATTTCAGTAAAGCATTGATAGAGTCCCATGAGAGATTGATAAGGAAGGTAGAAGCACATGGAATAGGTGGATCAGTATTAAAATGGATTAGGTCATGGTTAACTGGTAGGAAACAAAGAGTCAGCATAAATGGATTAAAAGTCAGACTGGGGTGCGGTCAAAAGGAGTTCCCCAGGGATCTGTATTAGGCCCTCTGCTGTTTGTTATATTCATTAATGATCTTGATTTAGGCATAACTAGTAGGATTAGTAAATTTGCAGATGATACCAAAATGGGGAGAGTGATAAATTCAGACAGTGACTTTGAACACCTTCAAAGAGATCTAGATACCTTACATGAGTGGTCAGTAGACTGGCAAATGAATTTTAATACTGATAAATGCAAGGTACTACAGATAGGAAGACGAATACAAACGTTAAGTATAAACTAGGTAACACGGAAATAGAAAACTCAGTTTGTGAAAAGATCTAGGTGTATTTGTTAGCAACGACTTGAAACCTAGAAAACAATGTATTAGCGTTCGCAACAAGGCAAACAGGATTCTTGGGTTCATATTCAGGTCTGTGAGTAACAGAACTGCTGACGTTATCTTGAAACTTTACCTAGCATTAGTGAGGCCACACATGGATTATGCGGTTCAGTTCTGGTGTCCTTATTATAGAATGGACATAGATTCTTTGAGAGTAAAGAAGAATGACAAAAATGATCCATAATATTAGAAACCTTCCATATGAAGAAAGACTGAAAAGCTTAGGCTTACATCATTAGAGAGGCGTAGAGTTAGGGAGATATGATAGAGGTGTACAAGTGGGTAAGTGGGGATTAACAAGGGTAAAATGGAAGATGTTCTGAAGCTCAGTAATAACGAATAACTAGAACAAATGGCTTTAAATTAGATAAATTCCGATTCAGAAAGGATATAGGCAAGCACTGGTTTGGTAATAGAGTTGTGGATATGTGGAATAGGCTACCGAGTGCTATAGTAGGATCGGGGACGCTAGGGAGCTTCAAGACGAAGTTGGATAGGCACATGGAAGTGCTGGGATGGGTGTGAAAGGGATCTGCCCTGTATGGGCCAGTCGGCCTCCTGCAGTATCCCACTTTCTTATGTTCTTATGTTCTTATCTGTGAGGGAATTACTACACCACATGTCCCTCATAACACCATATGTGAGAGAATTACTACACCACGTCAAGTCCCTCATCACACCATCTGTGAGGGAATTACTACACGTGAGGTCCCTCATAACACCATCTGTGGGGGAATTACTACACCACGTCAGGCCCCTCATAACACCATCTGTGAGGGAGTTACTATACCACGTGAGGCCCCTCATAACACCATCTGTGAGGGAATTATTACACCACGTGATGCCCCTCATAACACCATCTGTGAGGGTTACTATACCACGTGAGTTCCTCCTAACACCATCTGGGAGGGAGTTACTACACTACGAGTTTGCTGTTCAACACCTACATTAATCTGTATGTTCACTGTATGTTCCTTTACCTTTCTCTAATGAAGGCTTTTGTTAAACCACCAATGTATGTAATAAGTCATTTATGTCCAATGTATATTTTCAGCTTTCGGGCTGCAGAATTTTTTCAATAAACCGTTAATTATTATTATTATTATTATTATTATTATTACTTCTACTACTTTGCTGTCACTCGGAATCGAGTATGACGATCAACCAGCTATGGTAAAATTATATGGGTTATTAGGGATGTCACCTAAGTTAGTGAGTTTTGAGGTGACTAAAGAGCCCGATGGAGCAGTAGATGGAGGGCTCCATCTACTGTGGGAGGGGCGGTGGCAGCGTCGTTCTGACGTTGGCGCTTGTCTGCCTCGGTTTGCAGTCGGGCTAACTCGAAAGTATTGACACCATCCCGTGTGGTGCTCCTCCAAACGTTACGATGTGGAGTAATCAACTCCCAGGTGAGAGGGTCGATTTGGCACCTTTTCAGGTTTGTCTTAAGACTATCCTTATACCTTTTCAGTTGCCCGCCAACGTTACGTTTACTATTCGTTAGGTGACTGTAAAGTAGCTGCTTTGGCAGTCTACTGTCGTCCATGCGGGTAACATGGCCAGTCCAGCGTAGTTGTTCATGTATAATGGTAGCCCCAATGCTCCTACAGTTGGTGTCAGCAAGAATGCTGGCATTCGTTCTCTTGTCTTCCCAGCGAACTCGGAGGATGGAACGTAGACCACGTTGGTGAAAGTTTTCAAGTGCCTTGAAGTGCTTCCTGTATGTGACCCATGTCTCACTGCCATATAGTAAGGTGGGCAGGACCACTGCTCAATATACTTACTGTACGTGCAACTTTGTGGATAATTTCAGCTCCCAACAGCTGAAGACACGATTTCGGAGTCCGCCCAAGGGTCAGATGCACATCTGATCCGATGCTGAATTTCTTCATCGATGTCTGCGGTGGTGGACAGGTGGGAGCCGAGATACCGATAGTGGGCAACATTAGAGAGTGTAGTACCGTTAAGCTGGATGGATGGTGGAGGTGTGTCTGAACCAGGGGCAGGTTGTAAGAGAATCTGAGTCTTACGTACATTCACCTCAAGGTCGAAGTGTGCATACGCGTCTGCATAGGTGTTCAGGTATCTCCTGTAGGTCCTGCTCAGTGTGAGCAACAAGGGTGAGGTCGTCTGCATACTGAAGTTCAGTAATGGAAGCTACCGACACCTTTGTTCTTGCCGGAGTCGTCTTATGTTGAAAAGAACCCCCTTTACCCGGTACTCAATGATCACCCCCTGGCTAAATTGACACTGGCACGAGTAAGGAAGGCAGCCAAGAAGATGGAAAAGAGAGTTGGTGCCAGCACGCACACGCACGCACGCACGCACACACACACACACACACACACACACACACACACACACACACACACACACACACACACACACACACACACACACTTACTTTCATTCGATCAAGAGACTGAGTAAGAGATAATTTTTGGTGTGTTAGAGCAGAAAGACAGACATGGAAACACACTTTGTATAATGTGTTATTTCTCAGGTTTTCTTTGTGTCAGCAGTTTACTCTTACATCGCTAAGAACATCTTTTATTTACTCCATAGGTATCGATGATGAAGCAGACGTCGGTCACCAACGAATCGTTTCAGTCGGATTACTACACTAGCATGTCCAGATCTCGGGGTTACGCTTATGTTTTTAACTACACGTTTAAAAATCAACTGGAGGCACGTGCTGGGGCGGAACGTGACTCCAACAACCTAAGGGAGACGCTTTCTATGTTTGGCTATGAGGTCATCGTCTATGAAGATATGACCAAGGAATTAACTATGGAAACAATCTTAAGTATTCGGAATGATCCAATACTATATGAAGTGGATTCAATTATATTTTTCTTTTTGAGCCATGGATTAAGTAATTATATATTTTACACCTGCGAAGGACAAAAACTGAGTTTGGATGAAATAAGGCGTCACTTCGTAGATAGTAAGTGTCCTCAACTCAAGAAAAAACCCAAAATCTTCATGGCCAACTTCTGCCGAGGAGCCGATACTGAGCAATGGGAGTATGACGGAAAAGTGGATGTCCCCCGTGACATGGTCACTATCCACGCCACTACTGAGGGTGTCAAGGCACTCAGGTCAAGGGTCGCGGGTACAATTTTCGTCAAGAGTTTGTGTCAGGCATTCAGAAATGTCAACAACGGCGTTATGGAAATAAGAGAAATGTATGCCATGCTCCAAGTCCAAATGATGAGAAATTCAGGAACTACCCCAATGTGGGAAGACTATTCATTTTCCAAGAAGTTTTACTTCCAGAGACTCTAGCGATGACTATCTACCTCACACGTGATGGTGATGATGAAAATATGCAAACGTTAGGTTGTTGGAAGACCAATATGATACACCTGGTGACATAGAGTGTAGTTGTTTGAGATCTTTTACAAGTCCCAGATAATGTGCCTCACAGAGATCAAGGGTATACAAACACATAATAATGTGCGTTAGGTAGCTCTATGGACGCGTTTCGTGACAAAGTTTTTCTCCCCTGACCACGGGACTCGTCGCTGTTTGGATGTATGCCAAGCTATCTTTATTAACGCAGCTTGTAATCAAGTCTTAAGTCATTCACTCTGTAGAAACCTTCCATATCAGGATAGGTTAAAGAAACTAAACTTGCATTCCCTAGAAAGACGAAGAGTGCGGGGAGATATGATAGAAGTATTTAAGTGGGTGAAAGGAATCAATAAAGGCGATATAGATAAAGTTCTTATAATATCCGAGCAGGATAGGACTCGTAGCAACGGATTTAAGTTGGATAAGTTTGGGTTTATGAGGGAGATAGGAAGGAACTGGTTTACAAATAGGGTGGTGGACGAGTGGAACAAGCTTAGCAACTTTGTAGTAAGTGCTGGAACGCTGGAAAGTCTTAAAAGGAGGCTAGATAGATTCATGGATGATAGAGAGTGGTAGTAACTCTCGACAGGAGCTGCCATGCACAGGCCAACCGGCCTATTGCAGACTCCTTATTTTCTTATGTTCTTATGTTCTTATATTCATATGTATGAGGAAGATGGAGAAAAACAGTTAAACAACACCGTAGTTTCTTGTATTTTATCTATTCTGCCTTAAACAATAACGAGGCTTTCTGATAATTGGTCTAGTTTTAACTTTCATTACGGTGTAAATGAAGACAAAGTTATCAAATTTGCCGTTGTTGAAGCTAAACAAAGACATAAGATATCCAACAAGCTTCTCACACGTGTACTGTGCTGTGTTACCTTGAGAAGTGTTCTGTATCTGCGTAAGGGCTTCATTTTAAATCTTCGGCTTCAAAGGACATCTTATATCACATTATCTATTCCATAGGTGTCGGGAATGAACGATGTCTTCGACGGCAACTCCAACTCGACATATAAATACCAAGTGAAGTCCAGTCCTCCGGGTCACGTTTATGCTTTCAACTACATATTTAGTGGACAAGCTCGTGTACGGGAAGGGGCTCAGTACGACTCACTTAACCTAAGAGACACTTTTTCTAAATTAGACTATAAGGTTTTCATCTATGAAGACCTGAACAAGAAACAAACTTTAGAGAAAATCGAGGCTATTAGGACTGATCAGAACTTGAGGACGGTTGATTCAATTATTTTTTTCTTCCTGAGTCATGGAGAGACACCTTATGAATTTCTCTCCGTAGACCATGAAACATTACACCTTCATGACATCAGACGTCAGTTCACCAGAAGAAAGTGCCCTCAGCTGGAAGCAAAACCCAAAATCTTCATGAGTAACTTCTGTCGAGGACCTAAGTTTGAGAAGCAGGTGTTTAACGATGAGGGGGAGGTCCTCAAAGACATAGTGACTATCCACGCCACCGCCGAAGGCATCAGGGCGTTGAGGTTAAGAGACACCGGCACCATCTTCGTCACCAGTCTATGTGAAGTCCTCAATAAAATGTACATTTTTATGGATCTCAGACAAATTTATGCCAAGCTCCAGGGAATAATGACAGCAAAAGGAGGAAGTAGCCCGATGTGGGAAGACTACGCGTTCAAGAAGTTTTACTTCCGAAGAAGCAACTACAAGAGAAATTGCCAACAAACTCCTGAAATTTAAATCCAAACGCTCTACAACCAAAATTGACCTCCCAATCAAAATTTACAAGGAGTTTGCAGTCGAACTTGCCACCTCCCTCTGTCCCATTATTAATGCATCCCTCAGACAAAGCAAATGCCCTAATGAATGGAAAACCGCATATGTCACCCCTATCCCCAAGGTCCCCACCCCACAGTCCCCTTATGATCTGAGGCCAGTTGCCATCACCGACAAACCCAGTCTACTCTGTGAAGACTTTCTTTTTGGATGGGCATTTGCCAGTATTTATCAGTCAATTGATCCACAGAAATTTGACAATATGAGGACCTCCTCTACATCACACTGCTTAGTTAGTTTCCTCGATTTTCTGCACAAAAACCTGGAGAAACGTAAGACATCACTGGCCATTGCCCTTGTTGACTTCAGAAAGGCTTTTGACCTTGTTGATTTCTGCACTGTTATCAACAAGGCCATTGCACTAGGGCTGCCCACCAACCTGGTCTCATGGCTTACTGATTTCCTGAGTGAGCGTCGTCAGGCAGTGGTACCAGGGTTCTGTCTCCACATTCCAATACCTCACCTGCGGTGTTCCCCAGGGGACCAAGATGGGACCACTGTGCTTCCTCATCCTGATTAACGACGCACTATGGGACACTCCTCACAGGTAGAAGTACATGGATGACTGCAGTGTGGGGGTTACAGTGGACAGCACCTCACCGGACTACTCATCGCTACAATGCACACTGGACAGGCTACAGGTATGGACTAAGGAGAACAAGGTCACCCAACAATCACACCAAAACCGTAGTCATGCACATCAACACCGCCACCACTCCAGTGCAAGCTTCAGCAGTTACAGTGGGTGCCCATCCTCTCCAGTTAGTGCAGTCTGCCAAACTCCTGGGTGTAACTATAGACCACAAACTGGACTGGAAGGCCCATGTAAACAACACTATCAAGGCAGCCTCGTACCGACTCTACATGCTACGACGACTCAGGTCACTTGGGGCACCCACGCCAGAGCTGAGGACTATCTACAATGCATTTATTCTCCCTAAATTGACGTATGCGTCACCAGCCTGGTCGTCTTCTCTCAACTCTACCCAACAACTTCAGCGAAAGAAGGTACAGAACAGTGCCTGCAGAATCACGCTCAGCGCAGACTACTACAGCTACAACAACGCTCTCTGTCCCACAGTGACCTCCACCACCAAGCACTAGCAGGGTTTGGTAGTGGACTACTGCACCATCCTCGTCATCGCCCCCAGCCCACCTCATGCAGTCCGCCACTGCCCATAAGAGCCCGCACTGATAGATATAAGAATAGCACCATCCCATCTATTTTTTAAATAATAAATAGTTCCCGATTTATGTACTGTACAGCCCTGTAAATATATTTAACGTATATTATTGTCTAAATTACATGCGAGTTTGTACATTTTTAGCCACCGGCTGCAACTCTATTAATAAGCCGTTTATTATTATTATTATTATTATTATTATTATTATTATTATTATTACATCAGTTGTGTATTTTTTTCCGGGAGTTGTAATGTATTTCTCTATATATAATATTTTTAAACATACTTCCTTAACTTCAAGTTATGGTGTTGTTCATTGTGTTACATATTAAGATATATTATAATTTCATTCAGTAATAAAAGACCATATAAGTGTCAGTATTGTTATTTCTGTACAAATAAAGGTTTAAGTATATACAGTAAATCGTTTTTTATTTAATCTATGTTCAGCGTGATTGAATTTTAGGTCTTCTCTACCTTGTGTGTCACTATTGGTGTACACTTGCGAACAAAATTCCATGGACACTTGTCAATATCTGATGTATAAGTAGCCTACTGAAGGATCATGAATTGAAGATAACTGGAATTTTAAAGCATTATCTTAAATTTTTCTTGGTGTAATATGACTCAAAGGAAAGTAATATTTATTATTTGTATATGGTAAAATTTGTCCTGTTCCTTATGTATAAAATCGGGAAAAATGAGCAGACAATTTAAAATGCAAATTACGCCTCAAAAATTATAGCCAAAATCTATTATGATAATTCTATGTTAAAAGTACAGAAAATTTTATTAAAAATGAGCCTCTCTCTCTCTCTACTACCCACCTCTCACACTGCTACCCGCCTCTCACACTGCTACCCACCTCTCACACTACTACCCACCTCTCACACTGCTACCCGCCTCTCACACTACTACCCACCTCTCACACTGCCTCACACTACTACCTGGCTCCTGCACTGCTACCTGCCTCACACTGCTCCCTGGCCCCCACACACCCCCCACCACCACCCACCCCACACATCTGCCCCCACACTACTACCCACCCCACCACCAACCCCACACCACACCTCACATCACATTCACCACCTCTCACACTACTACCCACCTCTCACACTGGTGACCCACCTCTCACACTGCGACCCACCCTCTACACTACCCACCTCCACACACACCCACCCACCCCACACACACCCCACACCCCACACCACACACACCCCCACACCACCCCCACACACACACACCCCACACACCCACCCCACACCATTACCCACTGAGACCACCACCCGCCCTGTTAATTACCACCATCTCTCAAGACTCACTACCCATTCTCACACTCACCACCCACCTCTCACACTCACTACCTGCCTCTCACACTCACCACCCACCTCACACACCACCCTGCCCCACACCCCCACACACACACCCCACACACACACACCCGCCCCACACACCCTCCACACCACACCCGCCCCACACCCGCTCCTCCACCACCCGCCTCCCCACACCACCACCCGCCTCACACCACACCTGCCTCCCCTGACCACCTCACACACCATTACCTCCACCTCTCACACCACCACCTGGGTTAATTACTACCCGTCTTCACACCACCACTGCCACCCACCTCACACACCACCACCTGCCTCACACACTACTACCTGCCTCTGGCATCACACCTGCCTCTCACACTCATTTACCTGCCTCTCACTCATTACCGGCTCAAGACCAACGCAATCACACAATGCCACCCGCCTCTCACACTACTACCCACCTCTCACACTACTACCTGCCTCTCACACTACTACCTGCCTCTCACACAACTACCTGCCTCTCACACTACTACCTGCCTCTCACACTACTACCTGCCTCTCACACTACTAAGGAACACAACGCCCAACGCCTTTCAGCCCTGAGACAAAATTTGACGTTTTCTTTAGGTTATGAGAGAAGGGGAGGATCGAGTCTCCTGCTGGCACTACTACAAGTTTACACATGGGGTGAGAGAGAGAGAGAGAGAGAGAGAGAGAGAGAGAGAGAGAGAGAGAGAGAGAGCGCTGTTTGTCTAAGTAAGGGTTAATATCGAGATGCTGTTAGGTGTAATTTCAGAATGATTGCGAAGGATTTTATCAATGAAGCGCGTAGTAATCTTGCGTGCAATATTAATAATATTAATAATATTAATATTAATATTAATATTAATATTATTATTATTATTATTATTGATATTAATTAACAGTTTATTGAAAAAGTTCTGCAGCCCGAAGGCTGAAAATATACATTGGACAAAAATGACTTATTACATACAAAGACATGGGGTAGGTGGGTCGTTTAACAAAGGCCTTCATTACTGAAAGGAGAAGGAACATGATTTGAACACACAAATTATTATAGTTTACAGTTGATGGCCCGGGCCTGGACTGGTCATGGAGACACCAGGTGGTGTGGTGTTCACGTGGTGTGGTAACTCGTCCTCGGGTGTTGATATGAAGGACCTCACGTGGTCATGGGGACACCGGGTGGTGTGGTGTTCACGTGTGTGTGTGTGTCCCCTTCCTTGTACACACACACACACACACACACACACACACACACACACACACACACACACACACATACACACACACACACACACACATACACACACACACACACACACACACACACATACACACACACACACACACACACACACACACACATTCCCCATACCTACACCTCTCCCCTTCATTCTACCTCTTTTCTCTTGTTCTCCTCTTACAGCATCTCACTATTTCAAACAAGTAAACAATAGTAAATAATAATTAAGGTAAAGACTTAAAATAGATGACAATAGCAAGTGTTTATTTTCTTGAGGGTTGTGTTAAGACCAGCCTGGCAGTCTTAATGATGGTTGCCCACTGAGACTGACGTGGTCCTCCTCCTCCTCCTCTAGCCCAGGAAGGTTCCAACACTCAAGCACTCAACACCCTCAAGTGCTTCTCGAGGACCATCTTGTAGAGTGGCGCTGTAGCTCTTGACGCCTCTCACCACTCTGGCTCTTCTACAGAGATTTTTTTTTCATCCTTCATTTTCCTGGTGAGAAACAGGGGGAGCGCGAGGGGAGAGGGTGAGAAGAGAGAGAGAGAGGGTAGGGAGAATGAAAAATAGGGAGAGAGAGAGAGAGAGAGAATGTCAACAGTCTGGTTCACCATCACTGATTCTTTTCTTCCTTTTGTTGTCTTTAACAGAGCTTGAGGCGGTTTTCTTAATGTGTATGTATATGTGTGTGTGTGTGTCACTGTTATTACTGCAACACTGCCATAAACTCTTCCAAGTTACGTTCTGTCATATCCTTCACACCAGATAGAGATTGATTATATATATATATATATATATATATATATATATATATATATATATATATATATATATATATATATATATATATATATATATATATATGTGTGTGTGTATATATATATATATATATATATATATATATATATATATATACCTCAATATCAACAGCTCTACAATCGCTCCTATTGTTGTCTGATTGTGTTTCAGAAGACGTTTGTTTCAGCTGTTGTGGAGAGTCAGGAGTGAAGAAACTTTACTAACAATCTGGCCGGGGTTTACATGTATACACAGTGCTGTATAAACAACGTCAAGGGCATTCTGCACTCGCCAACACTAAGTAAAAACACAACTTTCAGGTTGACTGTGCGTGTTGCCGTGCCTCAGTCCGTACCTTGGTCGTGTATCTTACCCGAGTAAAGTCACTCTAGCCATATAGCGTCAACGATCCCTGCAACAATTACGACAATTATGGTGCTGCCTCACTACACCCCCCACACCTGATGCCTTACTACACCCCCCACACCTGATGCCTTACTACACTCCCCACACCTGATGCCTTACTCCCCACACCTGATGCCACCCCCCACACCTGATGCCTCCCCACACACCTGGACTCACCCCACACCTGATGCCTTACTACACCCCCCACACCTGATGCCTTACTACACTCCCCACACCTGATGCCTTACTACACCCCCCACAC